GGACCCTCCACGGGGCCCTGGCCCCACCCAATTCCCACCCCCAGCCCCGCCTCAACTCCGCCCCTTCCCCGCCCCAACCCTGCCCTAACTCCGCCCCCTCCTCCCTCCCACTCCCAGCCACGCGAAAACGGCTGCCCGAGCGCTACCGGCTTCACAGTTTGCCGGGCAGCCCCCAGACGCTGCGCCCCCGGTCGGTGCTTCCCCAGCGCAGCTGGAGCCCAGGAGGGGAAGCGCCCAGCCGGGGGCGCAGGGTCTGGAGGCTGCCCGGCAAACCGTGAAGCCGGTAGTGCTTGGGCTTCGGGCAGCCCCCTTGCCTCCGGACCCTGCGCCCTCAGCCGGGCACTTCCCCTCCTGGGCTCCGGCGGCGCAGGGTCCGGAGGTATGGGGGCTGCCCAAAGCCCGTAGCGCTCGGCTCTTAAACAGAGCTGAAGAGTCGGGGAGGAGCAGAGCTGCCACGGCCGGAGGCTCTGCTCCCCCACTGACTCTTCGGCTCTGTTTAAGAGCCAAGCTGCCCCAGTGCTACCGGCTTCGGGCAGCCCCCATGCCTCCGGACCCTGCGCCGCCGGAGCCCGGGAGGGGAAGTGCCCGGCCGGCGGCTGGGGTCCGGAGGCAAGGGGGCTGCCTGAAGCCCATAGCGCTCGGGCAGCTCGGCTCTTAAACAGAGCTGAAGAGTCAGGGGAGGAGCAGAGCCGCCGCGGGAGGGGAAGTGCCTGGCCGGCATTTTCCCCGACATATTCGGCTTTTGGCAATTCCCCCCGGATGGGGGTTTGAGTGCCGAAAAGCCGGACATGTCCGGGAAAAACCAGACATATGGTAACCCTAATTAAAATGAATGTCTTCTACAACAAAGGAGTTGGGGGCAGAAAAAACTAATAGGCCAAATTCATCCCTAGTGTAACTCTACTGAAGAAAGTGGAGTTACACATGCATGAATTTGGCCCACGATGTCTAGTCCATTCACTCATCACGGTATTCATAATGTTGTATTCTCCACTGCTCTGTCCTGTCTAAAATGACAGTTCTGCTGAGCAGGTTTGCAAAAGCAGACTTTTTATTGTAACCTAAGGGCCCAATCTTGCAAGGTGCTGAGTTCTGTCAGGCCATAAGTGCAAGACAAGATGGTCTACAGAAAAAAGAAAAGAAAAGAGACAGCAGTCATCACTAGCATCATTTTAAAGTCATACACCTTGTCTGAATAGCGAAAGATTTTTTTTTTTTTAAATTTGCTTCACATTAATGAAATACATACAGGTCCAAATTCTACTCTGTCCCACCTGTGGAATTCCAGGGCAACATCCAGGATTACAATGGAATTTCACCAGATTTACTCAGCTATAAATGAATAGAGAATCTGGTCTATATTGGTTAACAGAACTGTTGGAATTACTGTGTTCTACAATTTTTCTACAAAGTGTAAAGAAAATATTTGACTATTGTTAAGAAAAACACTACCATCTTGTACCGTCCATAACTAGAGTGCTTTGTTGGCATCAGCATACAATATTCAGTTAGATGCTACTTTTGTATTTGTTATTCCACATTTCATTTTCTTAATTGGCCCAAATCCTGTTTTGTGTTGTTCATCCACTCTTTCCTTCCCATCATCCTCTTTCCTAGTCTTCTTTTTTGAATCTCTCTTTTCTCCAGATGATCTTCCCTTCTCAACATACACCCATCTCCCTTTGATTTCCAGCTCCCGGGAGTGCTTCTGAAAGATCCAGCCTAAAATCCACCTTTACCCAACAGTGAAACACAAGTAATTAGCGAAGTTGATCAACCAATTAGGCCACTAATCAGCTGGAAAGCCTATTGAGCATCAGCGTAGGCCAATAACACACACAAGGCTATTTTTAAAGCAACAGGGTGCTAGTTGTTAAACGGACAGTATGAACAAAGCTCCAGTCCTGAAGATATTACAGTCTATTTGCCTACACAGCTATACACAAGGGCAAAATATGACCCTAAATATCAATCTCACAATGGGCAGAAAGATTGCATAATCAAAAATTATATCAGAAATAAACAATGTTTAAAAAAATGGATCCAATTCCTCTCTAACATACACCAATATATATCCAAAGTAGAGCTGGTGAATAACTGATTTTTTGGTTTACTAGTAGTTCTGATAAAATGGGGGGAGGGGAAATGGTTCAGGTCAAACTGAAAATGAATTTTTGGGGGAATTCTCTGCTAATAGAAAGTTGAAAAAATCATTTTGGGGGACATGCAACTCATGTGGTGGTTGCACCCTTACACCCTGAGATATGGGAGATCCAGTTTCAAATCCTCCCTCTGGAGCAAGGATTTCAACTTGGGTCTCCCCCTTCCCATACAAATGCCCTAATCACCAGGCTATATAATATTCTGGGTTGAATCTCTCTCAATATCTCCTCTTGAAACTGTTCCACTTTATGTAAATAAATATTCATTGGAGCAGGACTGGAACTTGGGTCTCCTACATTCCAGGTGAGTGGCCTAATCACCAGCAATAGCCTCTCCCCCATTCCCCTCCAATGATTACTCATGTATTTTATAGTATTCAAATATTTTGAGTGGCCCCTGGGACTACTTTATGTGAACAAAATGCTTCAGAAGCAATTGTTTCCACATGGACATAACATACTGCTGTGTGCAAAACATAAGGTGAAATGAATGAAAACCAATCTGCACATAGATGATCCTCAGATGAAAGGCTCTGAAGGGAACTGATCAGAATCCATAAGGGTATCTTACCACTGATTTCAATGGCCTTTAGATCAGGCCCCAGGAGGGTTTTTAAGATATTAATAAAAACAGAACAAAAACACACAAGAATCATTCTTACCCTCACGGTTGCAGATTTAGTGTATCTTGGTGCACTGCCAAATACAATCAACAGGTTAATGCTAAATACCATGGTTTTAGTGTGAACCACTGAATAAAGTAAAAGCTATTTTTCTGCTTTAGCACACATCTGGTATAAAAATAAAAAGTGGATTGAAGTTTTTCTAAATGCCGTGTTTAAAGGGGCTAAGACTGTGTTCCCCCAAAAACTATGAACTTATAAATTAGTACAAGCAATTTTATAGCAACATAAGCCACTAATCGCTCACATTTAGTGGTTGGACTTTAGTAAGCTCTGCATTTTAAAGCCTTTTCTAGTGGCCAATTATGAAATCTTTTTGCCTAGCAAATAAATGATGAAGTTCCCCCCAAAATAATTTCACACTGAAGGTGTTCTTGGAATTGCTCTGAAAATAGCATTTCCATGATGCGTTTACACAAACACAATCAGAGACCAAATCAACTTGCCCAATATTAGAATATGGCAGGCAGAACAAGTCTGAACAAATGCAATCGAGATCCTTGAATTCTCTGATGATATGATTTTATTTATCCTTTTATTTAAGCAACATTCTAGAATGGCAGATTATCCCCAATATCTCTTTCTTAAAAGTATAGTAAGCTTGCTACTAAATAGGATTCCAGGGGTTCTAGATGGACTGTGACCATTTCAATTCACCTGGCTTTCACAGCTAGATTACAGTCTTTAAAACAAAACCTGCTGAAACAAAAAGGGCAATATATACTATAGAATACAAAAATAAACCAGCATAGAAACTTTGGTGTGTAGTGCAATGATACAGCTAGACAGCATTTCTAGTCTAGATTTTTTTATTCTTAATCCTTTCTAAAAAGCATACAAATCCTTACCAATTCTCACAGTGTGCACTGTAATCACTTTAATACCAAGGCGGACGAATGTGTTTCAAGCATTTTCTGCCGGGAACAAATCTCTGTCACTCAATAGTCTGCTTAGAAAAATAAACCGAGAAAAGCAAATGCTAAGAAATCCAGCCAGTAGTCTCTCTCTCTTCTACATATTTTATATAAGTAAATACTTACCAACAGCTTCCTACATAGCCATTTAATTACACTAATTTTCTTTTCCCAAATCCGTCCTCTGAGTCAGAAGTGAAATGAGAGAGGGAGGGTGTGCATATGAAAGAGAGGGGGAATCAGAGCCTGCAAACTGACTTCACTCACTGATGTTGCAACTCCACACTTTAGGCACCACATTTTACTGGGTCCAGCCATTCTGTTATTTTAACCTGGGTGCCCTCAGAAACCTTTGAACCACCACTGCTGAAATCTGCATAGAATTTTTATCGAGTCCCTTAAGGAGTGGAGTGAGAGGATTAGTCCAGTGGTTAGAACATTTGCCTGTGACCTAGTTCAATTCCCTGCTTTACGAATGACTGCCTGTGTGTCACCTTAGGTAAGCCTCTTTCTGTGCCTCAGTCCCCCAACTGTAAAATGGGGATGATACTTCCCTACCACACAGGGGTGTAACAAGGATAACTACATTAAAGACGGTAAGGTGCTCAGATGGGGGGGGAGGGGCAGAAGGGACGTGTAAGTACCATACACTGAGTGAAAGGTAAAAAGATGGCCATAAATTCACAATAAGCTACTTCTCATTTAAAAAAATAAAAATAAAACCACGTTAAAAAACAAACAAACCCTGAAGGTATTTTGTAAAAAGTGAGTCTGTCTTTCAAAATACATCCTCTAAATTCATTCTCTACCTTCACTGAATTCAGTGGAGTGGAGTGCCACTAGAGTTGAATTTGGCCCACTATGTTTAATAATTCAGTATTTTAGAGTGCCTTTCCATTTGCAAGGGCTGGCTATGCAGGCTGTATGGATCCCTTACCCAACAAAACCAATTTTAGCACACCTTTTTCTTTCAGATCCTAGCTTTATCCTGAAGGCTAAGATGCACCGACAACTTTTCCTCTGCACACACAATTCTGCAAGTGTACACACAAAACCCACTACACTGCACAAGCAAGTACTTACACCCATATGGCTTGTGATGGTCTAGTCCTATGCAATCTCCAAAGGCGTAAGGAGGGCATAAGTGACTCCCTTACTCAGGCTACTAGTAGCAGCACAAGGGGAAGTTGGATCCATACAGTTACTACCTTCTCCTTATGAGGAGGTGGGTGGAGGAGGTAGTAACAGGATAGAGCCTTGGTTCATGCCTCCAATACCCTGGAAGAGTACCTGTGCCAGCCCATTGGGAGATGCGTGCTGTTTTGGGTAGGGGTCCAGTACTGTTTCCTTCCGCCCTGGAGCAATGGGGAGCCTGGAAGGCCGATTGGAAGTCTGAGTTAGATTTACTTTTTACAGCAGCACAACTATACATGGCTGCCTGCAAAGAGCAGATTGTAAAGTGGCAATTTCGCCCATGACGAGCTGTTTGCACACAAAAAATACCCATCTGTGCGAGTAAGTGTAAATATTTTACAGGTATAATTTAGGAACCCAAATTAGGCAAAGTCAGGAAGAAAAAGCCCTATCCAACAATCCAGACTCTGGAGGATCAGATTTCCAAGATGTCTTCAACCTGACCTCCAAGGGTCCGATCCTTTTCCCAGTGAAGTTCTATAGCACTGTCATTCACTCCAGGGGGGAACAAAATGAGATGCCAAATTTGAATGCCCAAGCCTTTGATACAAAGATTTTGTAAGCTTAATTTTTGGGCAACACTATGTGTGCAAAACCCTGGATGTGGTCCCACAAACTGTACTTGCCTATCTGCCCAAACAAATGTGCAAATACAGTTTGTGTCCCCCTCACACAAATAAGTGCACAGAAACTCAATGCAGATTACAAGATGGGTCCCAAATGTTTTTCTAAAAGGACCATGTCTTCCCAGAATTAAGTCCTTTCCTAGAATCCAGTGAATTGTCACCTTGGATTCTACAGTCAACAAGCGTCCCATGGCCCTTCACATCAGTGAGAACTCTGCTTGTGTATAGGAGAGAGAGCAGAATGACGTTATAAACTGCTTTGGTTTCTCATGTTAAGAGAATACCACTGCAGCCTCCAAGTGTAATTAAAAAGCAACAATGTTCTACTAAATGCCATCACCCACTGAAACGCTGCCAGTTCAAAGAAGATATCTATGAAGCAGCACAGAAGTATTGAGTCAAATACCAGGCACCATAGGTGGCAGTAATTAGGAACCTTTTGAGAGTGAAAAATTGCTCCCTTCCTCCTCTGGAAAGCTAAACATCCATCCTTTCCTCTCCCAAATCCCTTCTTAGCACACCTGTTCCATGCAGCATCCCTCTGCTAATCAGATGTATGTTTGATTCCTGGCTCTGTGACATACTTCCTAGGTAACCTTTGGCAAGTCACTTCAACTCTGTGAGCATCTATAAAATGGGGATAAGTCTATTTACCTACTTCCCAGGCATGTTGTGAGACTTAATTTCATTATTTTTTGTTAAGTGTTCCAAATCCAGGGCTGACTGCTACAGAAATGTCTCTAAATAAAGACAACCAAGCTCTAGGAGGCAAAATAAATTTGTTAGTCTCTAAGGTGCCACAAGTCCTCCTGTTCTTCTTTTTGCGGATACAGACTAACACGGCTGCTACTCTGAAACCTTTCATAAACTAACAACATTTAACTCTTAGGTAGAGCTGTTCACCCACAGATCTTATAGCATTCTACAAAAGTAGATAAGCATCATTATCCTCATTGTATGGGCTTGGGAAGGAAGGCACAGAGACGTGAAGTGTGTTCCCCATCTTCACACAACAGGTCAGTGGCAGCACTGGAAATCTAACCCTCTATTCAATAAAACTTGCATCTTTATCCCATTTGAATTAATATTGTAACACAAGCTTTTATCTAGATCAGAGGTGGGCAAACTACGGCCCACGGGCCACATCTGGCCCACAGGACCATCCTGCCCAGCCCCTGAGCTCCCGGCCGGGGAGGCTAGCCCACAGCCCCTCCCCTGCTGTCCCCCACTCCCCTGCAGAGCCACATCGCCGCGCGGGCAGCGCTCTGGGTGGCGGAGCTGCACGCTCCTGCCGAGCAGAGTGGCAGCGTGTCTGGCTCCGGCCGGCGCGGCAGCCAGACATGCTGCTCTGAATGTTCTGCTCAGCATGGTAAGTGGGCCAGGGGGTTGTATAAGAGGTGGGGGACCCCGGGGGCAGTCAGGGGACTGGGAACAGGGGACAGTCAGGGGATGGGGAACAGGGGGGATTGGATAGGTGTGGGGTCCCGGGGCGGGGGTGTGGATGGGGTCGGGGCAGTCAGGGGACGGGGAACAGGGGGGATTGGATAGGTGTGGGGTCCCAGAGGCAGGGGTGTGGATGGGGTCGGGGCAGTCAGGGGACTGGGAGCAGGGGGGCAATCAGGGGACGGGGAACAGGGGGGATTGGATAGGTGTGGAGTCCCAGGGGCAGCGGTGTGGATGGGGTCGGGGCAGTCAGGGGACTGGGAGCAGGGGGGTTGGATAGGGGGTGGTCAGAGGACAAGGAGCAGGGGGGGTTGGATGGGTCGGGAATTCTGAGGGGGGTAGTTGGAGTGGGAAGTGGGAGCGGGTGGATAGGGGGTGGGGGCCAGGCTGTTTGGGGGGGCACAGCCTTCCCTACCCGGCCCTCCATCCAGTTTTGCAACCCCAATGTGGCCCTCAGGCCAAAAAGTTTGCCCCCCCCAAGCTAGATACATGAACAACTCTCTGTTCTGCCACCACATGGCTGCATGAGGAATTTCTCTGACAATGTGCACCAGCAGGAACCAAGATGATGCAAACTAATCTACATTCAGTTTTGAGACAGGTTTATTAGAATACAGGTTGCGACTCATGAGAGACTTTAATGGACAATTTACTTAAAGCACTGGTTTGATGAGTTACTAAGGACACAGGCTTTATAACAGATACTAAGGCAAAGAAAGTCATTTCCTGTGGACAGATCCTTCCATTTGTCCCTCTCAACACTAAACAACTATTGAGGACATGTATTTTTCATAAGTATTTTCAGTTTCAACCACTATCAGCCACTGCCTGCAACCTCCCCCAATTTGTTAACAATGCTACTTTTTTAGGACACTCTTAACCTTCACTCCTACAAAGATTTATGCAACGTTTAACTTTCCATGAAGTGAGTAGCCCTGGTGACTTCATTGGGACTACTGACAGCTTGTAATTTAAGCATGGGCATAAGACTCTACAGGATTGAGGCTTTAATTATTTATTGCTAGAGTAACTACACGGGGTTCAGAGGAAGGGAAAGACATACAAAATGAGCACACATACAGGGAGATATGCATATATATATATATATTATTTAATTGCTATATACAACCATTCTGCATAAAATAACTATTTTAACAATTGAAAAAAATAACAATTTTGAAAAAAAATTGCACGTTAAAAGTACACGTCTTACAAAAAGGCTGAAATATATTTTAAAAGAATGCAGCAGCCTCTGAAGATTCAGAACATCCTTGAATGTTTAATCTGAAACATCAGATTAGGAAGCAGTAAATCCAGTTTCTTCGCAGCTGTTATTTTAGAAGAAAAATGAGCAAGTGAATGTGAAGTGCACTGGGCAGGTTCTATGTGGTATCTGTACCTAAGAGTTATTTTATAGTAGCAAATTGAAGCCAGAGGGAAACCCAGCTGGCAAACAGAATACAAGGCGGGCTTTTCTTTAAGATTCCAACATGCTTTCCTATAGGATTGTAGTGGGATTCAAACTCGATCACAAGCATGTGTTATGGTTCTAGTTCATAAACAATATATAGAAAAAAGAAGAGGCTTCTATTGAAAGGTTTTCAGTATACTAAATGACGGGACACCCCTATTGACACATTATAGAATTCCCTTCACAGGTCTGTATAATTTCCAGAGCTCAATCCAAACATCTCAATCTGTGGAAATCTTTGGAATTACAACCTGGATCTGGTCTCAATTTCACCACTGACAGCTAACTCTATGATCAGCCAAACTTCAGGCCCAAACCTCTAATAATTTCTCAGTCCTTATATAGGGACTGAAGGATTCTTGTAACACACAAAGCCAGCATTTCTTAGGGTGACTGGTGTGTTCTCCCATTCTTCAGACTTTTCATTTTCACCAATAATCCTTTGCACTTAATTTGCACCTTATATCTGAAGGCTTCATATGCTCTACAAACACAAATAGGACATTTGGATGCAGGAGGCTGCTTGCAGTTGAAT